AAGAAAACGTAAAACTTGGGAATTAAAATTTAATTTGTTTAATTAATTACACAAATATTCTACATATGGAAATAAACACAATGTCTTAAGGATTCCCTTTCTTCTCTTCCTGTTTTTCCTTCATCACATTGACAGCGATGAAGATTACTTCAAAGTCAGTGTATTGAATCCTTGAAGTTACATTATGCATGATTTTAAAATAATTTTTCGTGCTTTTTTGATAGATTCATCTGATATTGGAATTTACTCTGCGGACCAAGAGTTTTGCTGGAAATACGAGGATATTTAAAAAATTGGAAAATCATCTTTTACTTTTAGAAGACTTTGTTTTTTTGGAATTATGCATTCAAATAGTGGGGACCATAATAAAAACTAAATTAATATTGATTTGAAAAGTAATAGATTCATATTCGTATTTCATTTTCCTTCTTATATTTATTTTGAATTTCTTTTCAGAGTTTTTCATTCCCCCCTTTCCTGTACTTGGTCTTTATTTCCATAAACATTCTTGAATTATTTTGTGTAACTTTCACAAGATTGTAACACTCGATTTTTTAAAATTCAATAACAAGGTGATCCAAAGAAAAAAAATTCTAGTGTCTTTGTATTTCAAAATTATTGCAGGGGAATGTCGGTGAATAGTGTTTGTCGACTTAACTTTTCCCAACATAAAGGGGCATCAAAGATTACAGAAATTGAAGACTTTTTCTTCAAACTTAAACATCTAAAAAACGATTTTGACTAATTCAAGTATCACATTCATTTTGAAATAATTTCGAGATTTCTCACTAAAAACTTTTTATTTCAAAATTCGTTTCAGACACCATTTCAGTCCAACGATTGTCTTTCAAGGAGTGCTTTCTTTGTGATAAGAAATTACTCCTCGAGTGATAGCTTTCCTTAAAATTGTTACAGCTTGCTTTACTGTCTGTTTTTGACCATTCCAATTATCATTGCCAAAGTAGAAAAGTCTTTCAAAATTTGAAAATACATAATTAAATGTACCCTGAGGAATATTGACAAGAAAAATTGAGTCCTCTAGCTGTAATTTCGATAGACGATGCTGAAAAAGTTGATATTCAAAATTTGGCGACTGTATTCGCAAATGTAAAAGTTCGAAAGAAAAATTTATGAATATGTACGAATTACGAATATACCCCCGCCCCCTATCTCACATCTTACAATAGTAGAATCCTTAAACATTGAATAATTAGGCGATGGTATTGATCATGACTTTTATTCATACAAACAATTCAAATACTGAAGAATTACAACCCTTTTAAATCTTTTTTCAGGATAGACCCATCGAAAAGGAAGTTTACATTAAAACAGAAACTAGCTCTAGTATCATTATCAATTGTAGATTTTGTCAGTTATTGCTCAATGTCCATATTGGCCCCGTTTTTCCCCAAGGAAAGTAGTCAAAGGGGGATGTCAGAAACTGTCGCTGGCTTTGTTTTTAGTTTTTACGCCCTTGTCATATTCATATCTTCGCCGATTTTTGGAAAATTAGTAAGTGATTGATTCAGTTTTTTATACGTTATTAAATAAGTCTTATTCATATTGTTAAATTAAAAATTAGGTTTGGTATTGTTCGTTAGTATTATTTTCTTTTGTTTAAGGTTCCTAAATTTGGACTGAAGACAGTATTCATTGGAGGACTTCTGCTTTCTGGAGTGTGCAACATATTGTTCGGGTAAGTGTCCTCACTTCTACTGTAGAAAAATAAAAGTAGACTTTCCTTTGATAACTATGCCACATAAAAGAAAAGAATGTATCCCAAAGGACAATTCTTTACATTTTTATAAGAAATTATGTTGTCAGGTGCTAGGCTGTATGAGGTTGAACTGCAAAGGTTTTCTATTTGAAAACTTTTTCTTCAATATAAAACACGATTTTGACTTGATTTCTTTTACTTTTAATAGCAAACTTTTTATTTCAAAATTCGTTCATATTCATATTGAAAATCTATAGAAATTGACTAAGGATTATCGAAATTTATTATTGTTTTAAGTAAGTATCGAAGATTAAGGATAATTCAATCGTTTTAACGTGAAATGTATATTATTGGAGTTGAAAGTAAATTAATCTAACTTATAAATCCGCTGCATCACTAACAAGGAAAGATGCTGGAAAATCTTTGTTTTATTCTGACTTAATGTACAAAAGCAACGTTTTCATTTACGAGATAAAACCATATTTGTTTGACATTAGACTTAGTCTATGGGTCACTTACTTACATATGCTCGTGTATAAATTGAATGCGTGGTTGTTTTGATAATTCTTAGTAATCGATAAAATTTGTGTTAACCCTGAAGCTGAAAAATAAAATAGTGATGGTACAATATGTACTGATACAGTTAATAACGTTGATTTTAAATTAAACATTATTATACGATTTGATATTTGTTTACAAAAAATGTATATGAATACGTTTACTTATACTGATTTAAACTAGTTCTAAACTGGATACTAAAGGCGAATTTTATCATGTCAAATAGTTCAAATAAATTAACACAATTACAGACAGAGAATGCTATACATTTTCCAATTAAATTAGGATAAATATCTTCTATACAAATAAATCTGCCGTTGTGCTCACGTACAAGAATTACTGAAATGATTTTAGCTATTTTTTTTAGTTTTATTCCTTACCGCTTAGACGTTTGNATGCAACCTTTTTATTTCAAAATTCGTTTCAGACATCATTTCAGTCCAACGATTGTCTTTTAAGGAGTGCTTTCTTTGTGATAAGAAATTACTCCTCGAGTGATAGCTTTCCTGAAATTGTCACAGCTTGCTTTACTGTCTGTCTTTGACCATTCCAATTATCATTGCCAAAGTAGAAAAGTCTTTCAAAATTTGAAAATACATAATTAAATGTTCCCTGAGGAATATTGACAAAAAAAATTGAGTCCTCTAGCTGTAATTTCGATAGACGATGCTGAAAAAGTTGATATTCAAAATTTGGCGACTGTATTCGCAAATGTAAAAGTTCGAAAGAAAAATTTATGAATATGTACGAATTACGAATATACCCCCGCCCCCTATCTCACATCTTACAATAGTAGAATCCTTAAACATTGAATAATTAGGCGATGGTATTGATCATGACTTTTATTCATACAAACAATTCAAATACTGAAGAATTACAACCCTTTTAAATCTTTTTTCAGGATAGACCCATCGAAAAGGAAGTTTACATTAAAACAGAAACTAGCTCTAGTATCATTATCAATTGTAGATTTTGTCAGTTATTGCTCAATGTCCATATTGGCCCCGTTTTTCCCCAAGGAAAGTAGTCAAAGGGGGATGTCAGAAACTGTCGCTGGCTTTGTTTTTAGTTTTTACGCCCTTGTCATATTCATATCTTCGCCGATTTTTGGAAAATTAGTAAGTGATTGATTCAGTTTTTTATACGTTATTAAATAAGTCTTATTCATATTGTTAAATTAAAAATTAGGTTTGGTATTGTTCGTTAGTATTATTTTCTTTTGTTTAAGGTGCCTAAATTTGGACTGAAGACAGTATTCATTGGAGGACTTCTGCTTTCTGGAGTGTGCAACATATTGTTCGGGTAAGTGTCCTCACTTCTACTGTAGAAAAATAAAAGTAGACTTTCCTTTGATAACTATGCCACATAAAAGAAAAGAATGTATCCCAAAGGACAATTCTTTACATTTTTATAAGAAATTATGTTATCAGGTGCTAGGCTGTATGAGGTTGAACTAGAAAGGTTTTCTATTTGAAGACTTTTTCTTCAATATAAAACACGATTTTGACTTGATTTCTTTTACTTTTAATAGCAAACTTTTTATTTCAAAATTCGTTCATATTCATATTGAAAATCTATAGAAATTGACTAAGGATTAGCGAAATTTATTATTGTTTTAAGTAAGTATCAAAGATTAAGGATAACTCAATCGTTTTAACGTGAAATGTATATTATTGGATTTGAAAGTAAATTAATCTAACTTATAAATCCGCTGCATCACTAACAAGGAAAGATGCTGGAAAATCTTTGTTTTATTCTGACTTAATGTACAAAAGCAACGTTTTCATTTACGAGATAAAACCATATNCCGGTCTCGTAGAATTGGGGAGAGGGTCAAGCCCCGCAGTGCACATACGCTAGAGAGGGACGAAGTTTCTGCTTCTGCCTCAACGTAAAATTAACAAATATTTATGCAAGGTTAAAACAAGAATACCTACCTGACATATATTGTCTTGGACTAGCACATTCAGCCTTGGTCTTGTTCTTGCGAGATCGATTTTTGTTTTTGTGAAATTTTGACTTTGGTTATCGCTTTTATCAATGAGAAAATTGACTTTTAAACCAGCTGATTAGACATTTTTGCTTCAAGATATTGATTTATCGTCAATCAATTTATTATAGGTATTTGACCCTCTTTATAGCTAAAATATAAAAATAGCTGTAAATAATTAGAAAGATGTCCTAGCTCTCAATATCCGGTTGTTTGCAGACTTCAAAGTCCTTGGCAAAATAAAAGCCTGTTTATATATAAACAAATGTAAAATATTGACCCCCAAAGTCAGATAGCACAACTCAAAAAAAAGGCAAATAAAAATCACTCCCACGTGTGGGCATCTATTCTATTCAAGTGTTTATTGATTGATGACACGACACTAGCTGTTTTCTGAATGGAAAAAACATAGTATACAATTTTTTATACGTTATTTATCCGAAAAACAATTTCTAAAAGTCAATAACATAACCCAGAGTAAAGGTTATATTAAGATATTCTTTTAGTAAAACTCTAACAAAAATTCGATAACATAAAAAACATGATACAAAAACATTATAAATTAACAACCCCCTTAGAATTCCTAAAATTTAATTTCCGATTTATCTTACCAAATGCCCCTAAAAGCACAATTGTGAGTTAGTGTAACTGTTTAATTAAATGTGGATATCTCTTAAGCTATTTCTACATCTCCTCAAAAAACAATTAAAATAAAGAAAATTGCATTTCTTAAAATTAACAGGATTATTAAAACCCCATTCAACACCTACATATGTATTATACGTACTGTCAAACATTATCCGGTATCAACGCACTCACTATAAATATTTACAATCTCTTTTTTGGCATTGACCTTCATTGCAGTCATGCCCGTGACATTTTATTATTAATTACTCATTTGCATTTTAATTTGTGTCAATAAAAAAATAATATTTTTCATATTAAATTCCTCAAACAAAACCAAATACCTCAGCAAAAGTAAATACTAAAACAATTCACACTTTAAACAAAAATAAAAACTGATTTTCGTATATAAATAATAAAATAGTGACAGCGAATGTAAGTACTAACACAATTACTTTACTTCCAGATTAATACAGTATGTAGAAGACTCATTAACATTTACGATTTTATGCTTTGTGATCCGGGGAACGGAAGCTCTTGGAGCTGGAGCGTTTTCTGTTTCCGGCTATGTTGCAGTTGTAAACATTTTCCCTTATAATGCGGGTGCTGTAAGGGTGAGTTTTAAAATTCATTCGTGAAGTATCTTTTCGGCTCGAAGGACCACGGAAAATCAAATAGAAACTGTCAGATTGTACATAAATATTCAATACAAAATAGAAGTTTTTTATTTCAAAGATGAAACAGATTGATTAAAACTATAAAACAGCAACAATTAAATGAAAACACTTTTCAGGGTATTTTGGAAACGTTTGTTGGACTGGGGTTAAGTGTAGGACCAGCAATAGGTGGAGTTCTATTCGCGGTAAGTGGTTATTATACTTTCAAAAAAGTAGCAATAAGTTAATAAGTAGTTTTAATTATTCTATAATAATTTTGTCTTTTTCTAGAAAGGCTGGAGGTTTTGGACTGCCCTTTTATGTTGTCGGTAGCTTTACAATAGCAATGGTTCCGTTGAACCTGTGCTTGTTATCAACATCCAAAGGTTTGCAATTACCTTATAAGCCTTTAAAAAACAGTAATCACATCTTGTGTTGCAGAATATTCAAATGAAGAGAAGGAAGTATCTTTCCGAAACACATTAAAAATACCATCAGTATTAATCACTTGTTTTATAATCATTGTAGTTGCAATCACCTGGAGTTTTTTAGAGCCAACGTTGGAACCCCATCTTAGAAAAGTAAGAATTTAATGCAATGGTCACGTTTTATATTAGAACGAAAAATGACAAAATATTTTCGACTCTATTTATATCGCACTGACGAAAAAAAAAGAAAATAGGGCAATTGTCTTTTTTAACCATACAATATGTACATCCGTTGGTTGATAAAGTTGTTTATTCGCTACTTAGTAAATTATATCAGCGTGTCTCCTTTTCATATCCAACAATAAGTAATCGTCAGATCAAATTAAATGATCATTTATTTCTGTTATAATACTAATTAAATAAATTAGTAAAACGATCTTAACAAAAAACATCGGAAACTAATTAAAACAAAAACATCTGAATACAAGAATGATACAAAAATATTGACAAGAACGGCGTTATTAAATTCTTCACCAAATTTTAGGAGAGTTTTGTCATTTTACTTTTTTCTTTTCTTACTCTTGACCTAACCGGTTATTTTCAAGAGTTTTCTAAATGTAAACTTACTTAGAATCCACCTATATTCTAAAGTTAAACATTTTCTCTGCCTAAAATGTGTTAATCTTAACGTAATATTTGATGGTGTTAGTAGAATTGAACAGCATTTCTAACACTCCACCTATTTATGTTCTTTAATTCTTATCGTCACTGCTCCGCTATTTTGTCTCATTCTGTCAAACCAAACAAATAAAACTGTTTATTGTTAATTTTTGAATTTAAGCCTGTAATTTCTACTTTAATTAACTCGAATTTACTCGAAATATTGTTATAACTTTTACACAGATTACAATTAATCTTTTTGATCTTAGTACCAAATTAGTGTTGGTTTCATTGTGCTGATTCAAAATTTCCTAAAGTTAAATCATTGTCATTAATTATTTATGTTTTATTAACACTAAAGGGTGCCTTTCTGTATTAATTAGATATTTATTTGAAACTATTTCAGTTCTCACTGAGCCCAGAAAACGTTGGCTTGGTATTTTTACTTACTTCGGCTATGTATGGTATTTCTAGTCCATTTTTCGGTTGGATAACCGATAGCTTTAATTGTTATTGGTACTTGATGCCAACAGGGCTGCTCTTTTCAGGAATAAGCCTACTATTTTTAGGACCTTCGCCGATGTTCGTTTTTTTGGAAGAGTAAGACATTTTTATTGATTATTATAATCAACCAAACATTTCAACTTCACTAATTTCTTTTATCATACATTTATTCAAATAAAAAGTTAATTTTGTACTATTTTGGTTTATTTTAATGCTTAGTTCAGTATGGCTTAACATCGGAGCCGTGGCCGTACTCGGAATAGCTGTTGCAATGAGTCTAATGCCAACAATGCAAAGTTTATTGGACGGATGCGTGTAAGTAATGATCTGAATTCAAAAAATAGAGTAGTTATTGACCTTGAAATCTTTTAACAGTTCTTGTTAAAAATATACTACCTAGCACACAGTGTGCCAACGAAAGCGATAAGTTCTTACATAAAACAATTACATCCAACTAAAATAAAATTTCAAAAATTTATGTAGGTTTAGTCATTATTTAATTTTAGAAAATTATGAAAACAAATAAATCCTGATATACCTAATACAGCTCGCCACATACATAATCCTACAGATACTGTTAAAAAAGAAGACCACCTGATTATTTACGAAAATCTGCCGACATACTTGCCCATTTCTTTTTTTAATTCGACACGTAATTTTCAAGTATTTAACGATTAATGTAAATACTTATACAAAATACCCTCTACACCAGCGGTTTCTAAAAGGTATTCTTAGCGAATTGTCGTAGTAAACATGCAAGCAATACGGTATCGGAGGTTTTAAAAATAAAATTATTGTTGAGATGAATCAATTATTAAGGTTCTGCTCTGCACCGACACAAGAAGTTAAACCTGCTAATATTTTTTTTTTTGACATTACGCTACTAGTATACAAATACATAATGTCGAACAAAACACTGATGTATACTTGCTTCCGCCATGTTATTTAAGCTCCGCCCATCTGACAAATCTCAGTCGCCATCAACATCATCATTATAAGGCCTTCAACCCAAAGCAAAGACTGGCTGACATACACCTTCACTTCTTTGTATCTTGAACAAACGTATTTCGTCTATTGATTTCCATAAAGCCCAAAAAAGTGATTTCTTTTTGTTAAAAGCGACCCAACCCTGTGCTATTCTTTGATCTTGGTTTTTATTTTAAAAGCGATGTTTTTATTTTTGTTTTTAGGGAAGGAGGTCTTGGGGAAGGTTTGGCCACACAGAGTGTAGTGTCAGGTTTATGGGGGAGTGTGTACGCTTTTGGGGAAGTTCTTGGTCCAGTAAGTGGAGGAGCTTCCCTGCAACAATTCGGTTTCCCCATGACATCTACAATAGTGGCCATACTTAATGTGATATCGGCAATAATAGCATTCACATACTTCATGAGCAAAACCAATAACAGTGACGCTACCATTAAATATGGTATCAATGCTGACACACCCTGTACAGGAAATTACAAGGACCGCAACTGTGAAGAAGCAGTCAGTAACGACATTATTCGGCAACAACAAATGAATTGTTAAAAAAAGTAATATTAATAATAATAACATATTGAACAGATACTTGTGACTATTTTTATTAACGCAAATATATTTTTTTGTAATACTTCTTTTGTGTTTTATTGTTTGCTTATTGATAAAATCCATCTTACGCAGTTATCTATTATTTGGTTTATTGATAATTAGGTATTTCTAATTGACTGAATAAATAAAAAAAGTCGTTAAGTACTTCATTTATTCCTTATTGTACTTGCAGCAAAATAATTGTCAATCATAATAATCTTTTAAGATTCCATATGAATTCACCCCTCTTTGTCGGTCTATTTGTAGGGGCCACTTTTACTAGGAAACGTTTAACGTGAAAACTTAATATTTAGTTATAAGTTGTATTTATCCAAATATCCAATTATAGTAATTGAATTTTCCCCTTTGACCATCATTAGAGGATTATCAGTCCATATCGAGAGCGAATCTTCACACTTCCCGGAAACTACAACATCCCCCATTTCTATCTATATAAGAATTTAATTAAGGTTTTTCTCTCTCTCTTTGCCCCCCTATCTGCTTCTAATATGCTTCAAAAAAGCCCTTCACGTCTCAAAGGGTGTCCTACAATTATATCTCTCCCTTTCCAACCTTTTTTATCCACGGTAGCTTCATCATCATGTTAAAAAGAATTTGTCCATTGATTCAAAGTGTTTCGTAACAAGACATTCTCATTTGCGATAAATATATGCATAATTCGTCAGCATCAACTTTTGAAGCTTAATTTATTAAATTATTTAGTACATTAGTTATTAAAATAAATATTCAAATATTATATATAAAAGAAATTATGAGTGCTGTCAGCACAAGGCAAAGTAGCATTACGTAGTTAGTATCAGCAATTTCTTATGCTGTAGTGTACGATGTGTTGCATACCTATTTACAAACAATTCCTTTAAATTTAATTTTTCAAACAATTTTTAACACAAAGAAAATGATTAAACAAATTTTTCACTTGCATTCGAAGTAATGGTGTTAACAGTTTCAAGCTCACAGTGGCTGATAGAGGGGAAGAAGAACAAACAAAAAAACCTTGTTACATGAAAAATTCTTTGCCTAATGAAGTTTGAACAAATATTTAAAGATGTTGATAAAGCAATAAGACTTTAATTTTTACATATAATGCTGTATTCTGTGTATGTTCACGATAATACTAAAAGAAATGATCCACAAGTCTGCCGCATCCTAAAATTTTTGGTAGTCAAGTCTCCTACAATTCTCTAACATTTTTTTTTAATTCTGCTATATTTTTAAATACTACTCCATTTAGTTATAAAACTATATTAATATAAAATGCAACACATTTATCACAATTAGTGTAAGTAATAGGAAAATTTTTACAAATAATCGTGTACCTTTGTACATAAACAAAGTAAAGGGCAGAGGAATTGGAGTACAGATTATAGATCTTTAATTAAATTTTCCATGCGCCTATTGATTACATATTTGTATGTAATTAATCGATGTTGTGTTTCTCGTACATTGTGTAAATCTTATACGACTTCATCCAGTCTAAAACACACTTCGTAATACAAAACACGTAAAGGTCACTGTGATACGTACTTTGATAAAACCGCAGTACACATTGAAACTAAACAATTTTATTTCATTAAAATCTGCGTAATAATTTTATCAAATAATTACGATAATTGCATCTACGTTTAATGTTATTGTTATTATTTTTTATTGCAGTGAAGTGCATAATTCTGAACAGGTATGTATGTCATATTGATAATAAACCACCTTCAACTTATTGCTTTTTTTATAAAAATAAATATGTATAGGCACCATTCAGCCACATTTTTTAATGCAATTAGTTATATACAAAAGGTCCTTAAAAAATAGCTTACTTTAATTTTTCGTTTTAGTATTTAAAACAAAATATAAATTAGTTGTAAATATGTAAATCATTAAATTACTTGCTTGTACATGTTACATAAAATTACATCATAAACTGTGTTTAATGTTATTTAATTAATTATTTAACAATATTCTTTTTGTACTTCTAACATATAAAAAACACATTTTACATAGTAACGTTCGCAAACAAGGAGGAGGAGTATTGTTTAACGTAATAACATGTGACAAAGGGGAGGGAGGTTCAAGGAAGCGTTACGTTTGCAGTTATCAATTTTATTTTAATTTTTTCTTATCTTATTAGTTTTCCATTTGATTTTTTCGTTCTATTAGTATTTATACCTTATTAATCGCTATCATATGGAAGGAGGGTGCCTGGCTTTTGAGACTTAACATATATGTTAATGAGTTGCAGAAAACGTGACGCAGCCTGATCTGGGGGGGTGAGGGGCACAAAATGACGAAATTTTGGCCAACGTATTTAATAAACGGCTTCTAACCCTATAGGATTTGATTTTAATTTTATTTGATACCTTATTAATATCCATGAATTTGTTATAAGAATTAATCTTTTAAATTAATTTTTGTTTACATGTAGTTAAATTAGAAAATGCCGCACGAGGAGTTATCTAAAAGTGAATTAAATTCAGAGGCAGTAGCTTTAGAGCAAAAATGTGAACCAGAATGTTGGTGTTTGAATTCCACCAATATTAGAACTGCTCATATTGCTAGAAGTAAATCATTGAGTCATATAAATGACACATACACAACAGGAGAGATAAGGAGAATCCAGGAAAGGCTGCTAAGGCAAGTAAAAGTTCATACTACAATTCAAATAAACAACAATGAAAGTCATGTGATTCAAAATGATTTTCACGCATGAAAAATAGATAGTATATATAAATTGTAATAATTTAAGTGTATGCAAAGGATTTATAAAAAGATTTACTAATTAAAATATGATAATTTAATCTTCTTAACTAGTAGCCTATTTTTCGCGACTAATCTTTCCTTCAATTCTGTATGAAAGTCTATTTGTTTTAACCTATTATTAAGCTTTTTCAAAAGTTGATCCAGAATTTTTTAAATTATTATATTTGATCATCTCGCTCTTTTTGCATAATAAATGTTGAATTCTCTCCAATATTCAGTTCAAAAAAGATGAGATGTCGGGAAAAACTACCCATTTTCACAATTTTTTTAATGTTGATCATCAAAAATTTTCTTTATAATATTATTTTTATTAAAGGTTTCTTACACTATATCTTAATGTTATGTTGTTCCATTATGAATATAAAGTCCTGCATCTTATATTTTAACAAAAGTGTAGTACCTACTTGAATTAATTTTTTTATTTTTTTAGAACTAACTCTCAAATCCACAGATCTGTATTGAAAAATTTTAGTTCAACTCAGAAAGTAACATTGATTTCCTTATCGTTCGTAAATTTTATGAGTTTCTGTTCAATGTCTATAATGGCTCCTTTCTTTCCAAAAGAGGCAGCAGAGAAAGGACTCTCCGATACACTTTCAGGATTCGTTTTTAGTTTCTATGCACTGGTTATGTTTCTTACATCGCCTTTGTTTGGAAAAATTGTAAGAACCAGCAACATTTAAATTTTTTTTTCAAAATAGGTACCTTTATTTTTCTTTTTGTAGATTCCAAGAGTTGGGGCCAAGTTTCTATTTATCTCAGGAATTTTTGTAGCTGGAACTTGTAATATTCTTTTTGGGTAATAACAAATTATAATTATTATTATCTTGTATTTAATATTTAAAGCAATGTGAATGCTTAATTCAATTTTTTTTTTTGAAAATATTATTATAATCCAAACCTAAGTTCTATTTTCATTTTGCTTCTAATTAAATCAAAAAATACGTTTTTGGAAAGTGGATTAATAAAAAGAACACTTGTTTAGCGCACTCGAATATGTTCATGATTACACTTCTTTCGTGGGACTGTGCTTCACAATTCGGGGATTTGAAGCTTTGGGAGCAAGTGCATTCTCCACAGCCACCCATGTATTTGTAATACGCTGTTTTCCCGAATATATTAGCACCGTTTTGGTAAGTTTATTCACCATATTCTAGATTTTGACTTTGCCCCTCTTTAGTCTTAAACAATTGAAGTATTGTATTGGTAGTGGGCAGCTAATTAATTTGCAACGATTCTATTTTTCAGGGAATCTTAGAAACATTTGTTGGATTAGGAATGAGTGTAGGACCTGCTTTCGGTGGATTTCTGTACTCGGTATGTTACATATATTTATTACAGATAGTTCTTTTTTAAAGCTATTTGGCAAACTCGCACAAAATTCATATTTTTTTCAAATTTCAATCGAAAATCCTTAAATGGTTTAAACAACATTTTATATTTTTGCAAGTAAAAAGTTGTAAAAGTATGTAATTATATTACACACTTTATATAAGTAGATAATGTTTCGTCACTTTTTGACTTTTATAGAGTTTCAGAAATTACAACATTTACTTGTAAAATTAATTTTGTAACTTCAGAAGAAAATATGTAAAGCAGATAACAAAATTTGTAGAAATTACAAGTGATTTTATTTTAGTTTCTACAATAAATTTCCGCCAAATGAAAGTAAATTCAATTAATTTAATCTTTTTTTGCAATTCAATAAAAACTTTTAGGCAGCTCGGTGGATTCGAGATGCCTTTTTTTGTTTTAGGGGTTGCCATGATTGCTGTAATACCATTGAACTTCTTTTTACTTCCCCCTAGCCAAGGTAATTAAAAGAAAAACACCTACTACTGTTTTTACACTATTTTTAAAATTTTGTCTAAAATTTAGTAATACAGAAAGGGTTTTATTTGATTTTAAGTGGCATTTTAAGGTACTTTGATGAGTCCTTTTTGCCCTTATATTGACTTAGATTAAACTAAGGAAAAGAAGAAAAACTTACCAAAACTTGTTTTGTAAATATGAGCGAAAATTATTAACAGCTTAATGTTATGGATCTTGTAGCACGACAATAATACAATTTTACTATTCCTTTAACTTCTAGATTTAATCCTTAATCCGAAAAAAGAATCAATGTGGAAACTATTAAAAGCGCCCTCTGTTATACTGACGTGTTGTGTTGTGGTTGTTGTTTCCAGTACATGGGGCTTTTTGGATCCCACTTTGGAACCCCATTTACGCCAAGTGTGTATATATTTTTAATAATTTCCCGAAAATGCATCTTCTATAATCTTTCAGTTTAATTTACAACCAGAAAAGGTGGGACTGATTTTCCTAATGTTTTCCAGCATTTACGCTATATTTAGTCCCATATGGGGATGGCTGTGTGATCGATTTCAAGATCACTGGTCTATGATGGTATGGGGTCTGATCCTGAATACGATATCGTTGCTATGTGTAGGACCTTGTCCCTTTCTTCCTTTTTTGGAAAGGTAACAATCTCACTACACCCCTAGCAGTAGGTAACAATTCTTTGAAAGGGGTATGAAGACAAATAACAGATGCTTTCAGATCTTTTTGATGAATTTATTTTAAATTAATTGTAATCCGATTTTGCATATTATCAAATACAAAAATTTTGCACAAGGTTTTAAGGACCTACAACATAAAGTAGATTATCCACGACGCCTATAAGACTGAAGCCGAAATGAACGTATGTTAGTCTTTAATATCTACTACCGAAAAACTGAATTTGGTTGACTGATCAACGTGATTTTACCGGACGTAATACTTCCGATCCGTTCCGGATTATTCTGCTTTAGTCACTCTCCCAACCGGTCTCAGTCTGATCGGCATCGTGGACAACCAGCCTAAGTTAACTCTGTACATGTTCTTTTTTTAATTTTCAGTTCTATTTGGTTGAATCTGCTTGCCCTTTCTGGAATGGGAATTTCGGTCGCGTTAGCCCTGCTTCCAACATTTCAATGCGTTCTAAAAGGGGCCTTGTACGTAATATATAATACTCTTACTATTTCTTTTTGTAATTATGCAAAACCATTATCTGTTTTCTTATTATTTTAGAGCTTCCGGGTTTAGTGAATCTTTAGCAACTTACAGCATTGTGGCAGGAATTTGGTCAAGTGTTTATTCATTGGGTGAAGTCGTGGGGCCCTCAGTGGGTGGAATACTACTGCAGTATTATGGATTCCCTACAGCTGCAACTGTCATGGCAGCCATGACCTTTTTAGTGGTAAATTTCTGTTACAAGTTGTTATATTTAATTGTTTTTTATTATAAATTATTTAAATTGGTTTTTTAAAGAAATATCTTATTTTTTTGCAATATGGAGTAGCAGCAGTTTTGAAAATGATGTTGCGTAAAATTTTATTATTAGCCTTCATTAGACACTCATAATGATCACATTTTCAGAAACGTCTTTTCAAATATGATATCTGTAATTTCCAATTGGTATTTTTGATTGTCTTGTCCCAATTTTTTTTTAAAATTTAGACAAATGTTTAATATTGTCATATAATGTCTGCAGACGTATGAATCAGTTCATAATTTCAGTTAATACCAACGTTAATATTTTGTGGTTGCCAAAATGGTCGTAATAAAAATAACGAAAATTTATCGGACAGCGGAATTAGCGCTTCATGGAGATCCGAAGACTCTGAACAAAGTCCTTTACTGGAGTCTACATCGGATGCGAATCACAGATTATATGTTCAAGAAAAGGTGAACAGTTACGAACAGAGTAGAAAAATGGACTACATGGTAAGTCCTGTTCTAAAACCCTTAAATGCTTAATTGTGATTGAGACAAATCAATTTATTTCTAGATTGGCGATTTAGATCCTGACCAGCCCACTGATTTCAGAGGAACGGTAACTGTTACCTCGAAAGGAGCATGTGAAGCATAAAATTGTATTATACACATGTAGATATATTTTTTATTTGTGTCCATGTGTACTTTTTAATATAAAAATATATATTACTTTTCTATCCTTGAATCTCATCCCTACAACCTTAACTATTTTATTTTCTTCCCACATACAATATTATCGAAAGGTTTTTCTGGATCTGCAAATCCTATGAATACGCTCTTTCACACCATGTACAAAATTAAAAAAAGAATTTCCATTTTTCCTTTAAAGTGAAGGTAAAGAAGAACATTGAAAACAAAAAAATAATAATTGGAGTCCTTCATTTTTTAAGCAACGATACTTTAACAAAGAGTGCTTAGAAATTAGTTTTGACAATCGCCTGTAGGTAGCGTCTATTTAATACCAGTATGGCTGTCATCCAAGGTGCTAGGCAATTCTTAGGTAAGAAATATAAAATGTTAAGGTAAAGGTGATTGCTAGGGACCGTTTAATAACTGAAATTTTATTTATATATATTGTTTTTCACGGTGTATATACAAGTTGTTCGGCAATTATCTTATTAGGCGGTATTTTGATCCCTTTTTTTAATGTTATACTAGTTTTTGGACGTGTTTCAACATTTTTCATCCCAATAAT